AGTGGAGGAGGAGCTGAAGACTGTAACAGCCAGGGGACAAGGATGCCTACTGCTAGTGTTTTCTAGACAGGACATGGAAGTTATAGTCATGAAATATCAACAATATGATCTGTTAAACAAGACCTGTGTGATGATAACTTTAGTTGATATGCCAACATTGACTTAGAAATTTCACAAGGTCCTATCTTCCACATAAAAGAACTAGAGGTGATTAATGGTGCAGAAAACAGGGGAAGAGCTCTTTCCAGAAACAAGCTTCCTGATGAGATACTGAACCCCAAGAAGTCAACACTAAACACATGTACAAACCTGTAACACTAAATGAACTAGTAGGCTATAAACATATACCTACATGTATACACACACACATTAATCAAAATTGTTACTGGAGTGTACACTGTGTTTGTGTGATTTTCTCAATGTTTATCAGTACATCAGACATGGGTATAAGGTAAAATGTACTTCTAAATTGATAAAGAAATGAGGGAAGAAAATCTTCACTATAAATAGAGCTGTTATTTTCATCCACTTTATTATGATTAAATGATTATCACCCAAAAACAGACTCTGACTTCTCCCTTGACTCGATAACCCCAGAGAGACTGCCCACCATATCTCTGATAGCAGAACCTGGTGCAACGTGATATCATAGAGGGGCTGCACTTACAGGAAGCATTCTCCTTAAATATTATATTTTGAAAGATAAATTGTGTCTGATAGTGGGTATTTAAAAAGCATGCAATCAAGATTAGTGTCTTGAAGCACAGAACATGTTTTGTCTTTTTCATGACATACTACTTTGCAGTTAACAACTGATTCTTTAGTCATTTCCTTTCAAAAGGATGATTGGAATGTGAGCGTGTTTCCTGGGGTGATCTGTCTTGATAGCGTCTAAGCATCTCCATTAACACTGCTCAGATTTCCAGTGGGAATTTCCAAGTTTTTGTGCTGGGAACCCATTTGTAGTTTCCTCAGGCTGATTCATATGTGGCCAGAAATTGTGCTAGGTCCACTTGAATTGTCCACTTGAAAATGATTGATTTTATGTAACTTTCACCTAGATTGCAAAACTGTTTATTCAAGTATATCTGGCCTCTGAATAACCTGCCTACACGTAGCAATCACTAGCATAATTTGCTTTCTCCCCAAAAGGGTTAGTTAGTTTGATACTAGGTAGGGAGTATGTATACAAGATATTTCTACAATAGAGCATAAATTTGGATTCTTGAAGATTTTGAAAAATCTGCGGAAAACACATTTTTGTGAAGTTTGCACTCATCTTTTCACATCCAAATTTGAATTCTCAAAGTCTGAAAATACTGTAGAAGGGACAGAGGTAAATCTAAGAAGGAACAGAGGTAAGTCCGAGCGAAGCGTGATTAATTGGCTCAAGTAGTTAGTTAAAGCACAAGATGGGATTTAGAGAAGACTTGAACATTGTGTATATGTGCACATGAACTTCATGTGTATGTATATATGTGTGGATGCTCACTTACCTATGCTCTAGAGACCAGAGCTCATCACTGTCCCCCACTATCACTCTCCACCATCTTCTTTGTTGAGACATGGTCTTACTGTCTCATGCTGCCTGGCCAACCCGTTCCCAGATTCAGCTGTTCCTCCATCTCACCCAGCTCTGGCACTGCAGGTGTGGGGCATTGTAAGTGGTTTCCGTGTGAATTCTCCATACTTATACAACATCATCGATGGAGCCACATTCCCAGTCTAATGTGAATTTTTTTTTTTACTTTTAGTTTTGATTTGATTATTGTTTTTTTCTGGGCCCCTGAAATTGGACAGATAAGTTCAAGAAACTGTCATCATAAGAAAACAAAACACCTAAGTCTGGATGCTGAAATCAAGATTTCCTTACTAGGAAGAGGCAGCTGAGAAATCCCCTAGTGTGTAGATAAAGGATCAAGGAGAACCAGAGCTATGGTAGAAAGGAAATTGTTCAAGGTGGTCCAGGGTATATTTTTACCTAACATGCTGACAGTCTGTTTACATGAGAACTTACATATCAATGTAAATATGAACAGAAATGCACGTATTTGTCTAAGGAACAGATTTATGACAGCAACTGCTGGCCGAACTCAAGTCTGAAAGATGAATTCCAGATGGTTAAATTTAAGGAAATATCTACTGGGGGAGTCCTGAATTTCCTTGCCTTGAGGAGTTGTTCCTAATCTTTAGCTCTATCTCCCTACAGTGTGTTTCAAGCTTAGCAGGGTAGGTTTGTTAAACTGCTGCAGTGGATGGGCTAGCCAGTGCAGCGCTGTGAGCTCACACTGGTGGTGGCAATGAGGGAAAGCTGGCAGACTGACAAATGCAGCTACCAGCCAAGGCCTAGAACCAGAACTATGAGCTGGCCCACCCCAATATCCACCTTATCTATGAACTGCTGGAACATATGAAGTGGCTGGATCTGCAGAACACTGACTCATTGCAAAGAACACTTACAAGTAAAGAAGTATGGACCAAAGGGTATACTGTATGATTCACTATGTCACAGTACAGCTTCCACAATGAGACTTCTATTTGTTTGTTTGGTTTGGGTTTTTTTTTTTTTTTGCCTTAAAATTTATTTGATTTGGGGGTGGGGAGGGAGGTTGCAAGGGCAGAGGATGGATATGAAGGGATGGGGAGATGAATAGGATCCGGATGGATGATGTGAAATCTACAAAGAATCTATAAAAAGTTTTTTTAAAAATATAATACAGTCATGTCAGGTCTCTATTAAAACCTCTCATTGATTTCTTAACATGTTTCAGAATAGTAACAAAATATAATAGCAAAAACAAAAAAGCTTTTTAAATTGTCTTTAAGACCTCATGTGCTCTAATTCCCTTCATCCTTTGAGGTAACTCTGGTCTATCTACTTCTCCAGTCAGGATGCTGGCTTCTCTGTGGTGTCTCGGCCCCATCTGCATGTTTCCTTCTTAAAAAATCTCTGTGATTTCTCTTCGCTCTTTGAGTGAACCTCACTGAGATGGCTGCAAGCCTTCTGTCTTATTTCCCAAATCTGCATGCATATCACCTCTTTAGTGGATGAGGCATCCTCTGGTTACTCTATGTCAAAATCATCAGCCTTCTTCCATTACCTTCCTCGAGTTCCTTGGTCCTTTATATATTTGCCTCAACATTGACAACAGTCAAATTTTCTCCATAGTATACAAGCTTTAAAAGAGCCAGTGGGTTTTAAATCCAAAAGACCCCGTACCTACAGCATAGCATGCTTAAAAATATTTTCGTTGTTGCCGAAATAAATGTTTAAGGAACACAGTACAAATTTTAATATATTTGGTCAAAAATTAGCAAGGATCTACTTGAATAACAGTAACTTGGTAAACAGTTCTGGTTACTGTTATATTGTTTTTTCATGAGACATAATTAGTGGAAATCCCTCTTTTTTTCCTGCTCCATTTTTAATTTCTCTCCTCTCACACTCCCCTCACTCTGCCTCCTTTCCATCCCCTTATTTTTCATCCCTCCCTTCTCCTTCTATCCTTCTTCCCTTCCTTCCTTCCAGCCTCCTTGCTTCCTTTCCTCTTCTCTCCTATTATTCTTTTTCTTTCAACCTTTCTTTTGTTCTTTCTCTTCTTGTTTTTACCTTTTACAGAGTCTTTCTATAAGTCCAGGCTGACTTTGAACTTGTGACCTGTTGCTCAGCCCCCTGAATTCTAGGGTTACAGATGTGTACTACCACAAGTGCTCTGTGATTTTTTTTAAATATTCTAGCTTCTTAATACTTCAAGTCCTCTGCAGTACACATAACTTGACCTTCAGAATTCTTACTGCCTCCTTCCTTCCACAGCATTCCAATACTCAACCCAATGCAAACAACAGACACAAGTCATTCAATAAAGGGTTCCCGTTACTACTCTTCTTAAATATATAATAATAGGACAAACAACATACAGCTTGAAACGCTTGCTAATTCACAATCTGGTGGTCTCTTATAGACTCTGGCTGCCTTAGCTCTGTTTCAGCACTAGCTGATGTTTAGTGTGCTTGTCTTAGACATTACCACACACACACACACACACACACACACACACAACGTTTACTTGTATGACATCACTCCTCTGCCATATGGCAGCCTCAGTATAGTACTTAGAGGATGCATCCCTTATCTCACTACTGAATTTGTTAGCACCTTGATCTCGAACCACAACTATGAGAAATAATTTTTTTTCATTGTGTATGAATTATATGGTCTTAGGTATTTTGTTACTGCCACACCAAAAAAAAAAAAAAAAAGAATTAAATTGTACTGATTCAGGAGGAGTTGTTAGACACGAGACAATTCTCTCATTTCTTGTCTTGACTTAACAGATGTAGGCACACATTGCTAGTTGTCGTCCCAAAGTTGCACAGTGGCTAGTAACAGTGATGTAAGTGGGGGCTGCTAACAGCGTATGGCATTGCTCACCATCACAATGATCCTGGTGTGTTAGAAAATGGTAAATCAAGTCCAGATAATGTCAGAAGAAAGAGCCTGAAGTTGACAACAAGAGAGAACTTTCAGAACTAGTCTGACCCTAACCAGCTTTGTGACTTTTAAAGAGATAATTCACCTAGATAGCTTTCAATTTCTTTCTGAGTTAAATGAAAGAATTGAATCGATTGGATGCTCTCAGGGGGTCTGTTGCTCGGGCTTCCAGTGAATGATGCTTTGCACTCTGCCTTTGGAGACAGGCAGGGGTGTCCTCTCCTTCCCTAAAGGTACAGGTGAATAATCAGCCTGCGATGCATGCTGGGTAAGAAGCTGTGTCCATCTCTGATTATGCTTTAGTGTCAGAGGATCCAGAGTGCTACGGTGAGGGCTCGTCATCCGCAGCTTGCAATTGAAAGACTTGTAAACAGATACACACGCGGTCTGAAAAAAATGCAGATACTATAATAACTGTTCAGGGACCGCCCAGCCAGAAAACACAGCGATTTCCCCTCAGCCAGACCAACTTGGCATTCTGAGTACAAGCTCACAGGGGAGGGGCTGGGCTTCTCCATGCAGGAACTGGAGTCAGAGGCTTCCCCTGCTGCCTGCAGGGAGAGAGACCATTAGGAATGCCTCTCAGTAACCGGTTTCCTGGGGTATCTGAAGTTAGACACACAGCCTGGAGCAATCTGAACACATCGCCCCCGCAGCTCTGCAGGAATCAGGATGCAGGCCAAATACAGCAGCACGAGGGATATGCTCGATGATGATGACACCAGCATAAGCCTGTATTCTGGAGCTTCCACTGTCACCAGACGTGCAGATCCGAGGCATTCAGGTACTTACTCCTGTCTTCTAGAGTCCAAGCAGACCAGTGCCCTGAAGAAATTCTTGAACTGAGGCCCTTTTCCTAGGCATGTGCAAAGCAGAGGGAAGGGAGGGAATCTTCCCATGGCGTATCGTGAGGGTTATCTGCACTTTCCACAACTTGTCTGCACGCATGTAACATTTGAAAATGTTAATACACACACGGATCTGATTCTCTAACATGCTATTGCTGGTTTAGCAGTTTGCAAGGAGGCATATGGATTTTATAATTAGGTATAGCAGGGAAAGATGAGATTATACCTTAAAGAAACATCTGTTTCCTTTTTCTTTCTCGCAAAGGCCAAATCAGGCCGGTTGTTGTTGTCCATGCGATTGTCACCTGTGATGTGATTTGGAAATTTGGGTTAATCAAAATGAACATTTTAAGGGGGGGGGGGATGGTGGCGGGAGTGGTGAGTTTTTAACTCTTGACTTTAAGGGAGAAATTTCCAAGCGGGTTAATTAATGTGGGTATATGTTAGAATTTCTACATCTTGAATCTGCAAGACTTTGGAGGAGTCATGTTAGCTTCAGGTATTGGTTATCATCTGTGATATCATGGGCAACAGAAGTAAATTCTTCTTAATGTGTCTTCTTAGGTCTGAAATTCAATGATTTGGTAACCTAAATAGGGAGCTCAGATTCATTTTCATCAAATTTCTCGCACCCCCCCCCAACCCAGCCCTTTCGTTTTGAACATAGAGTTTTCCTCATGATAGGCAACAGAATAACACTGAGCAACACTGTGGACTCCTTCTAATCAATGTGAGACAGCAGTATCTCACTATGTTACCCACTGACATCAAACTGGCAACCTTCTTATCTCTGTTTGCCCAATAGCTGGATTATAAGCGTGCATCACCATATTCTGCCCCCTTTACTTTGTTGAGCTTAGAATACTGACATGATTGAATCATATTTACAAGACATTTGATTTAGTTTATGTCTTACTATTTTCTTTACTGTTATTTGCCTTATGACCGAGTAACATTTTTCCTTTACCCGTCATTTTTATAATTCACACAAGGACATGGGGGCCTTTTCTGGTTTGTCTACTGCAGACACATGACTTTGTTCTAGAGCAAATACCTCATTCCGTAGTACAAATGGATAGCAAGCCATACGTTCAGGTTCTGATACCAAGTAAGCCACTTACCACTGTGTGATCTTAGTCTCTTGGGGCTTTGGTTTCATTGCTATTAAGACATCAATGATGGGAGGTGGATTTTAATGCATACGTTGTGCCCAGGATTACTTTAAGTACCTTATGCACATCTGCTCATATTAACTTCAGCTAACAGTGAACAGATGTAACACAACTTCACAAGGCATACAAGAATATAAAGAATGACCAAGGCAGACACTCTAAAAACATTTTCCTCAATATTCCTTCCTTTGCAAATTCCTGGAGGGTTCTGTTTAACACTTCTGCGTCACTTTCCATCAGTGGAACCTAATTCCTGGCTATGTCTTCAAGACGTTTATTTTTCCTTGTGACCAGATCCAGGATTTCTTTACTTCTGTAAATCAGGACACATTTTTGTACTGCTCTCTCTTTTATCAAATAACTTTCAGGGTCCCTCCTTTTCCTTCATAAAGTCATTCCATACAAATGTACATAAAAAAATAATCCTTTTTATAAATGATTGTTCTCCTGATGCCTACTGGTATGGTTTCTTGGTTTCCTACTAAACTACACAAAGAGCTGCTTAAAGGATATTGGGGATTTCCAGCTTCTTTGACCTGGAGCTAAATGGTTACAGGAGGGAGGAGAGATGCTGTAGGATGTGGTTGACGCTTCAGGCAGGGCTGGAAAGGCCTTCCTCCAAACTCTTTCATGAACAATTAGTTCACAGGGCCGTGGTCTCAAGAGGACCATTTGAGATTTTGTTTTTCACCTTAGCCTAGAGATGGACTAATGACCTGCTTAAGCAGGAACAGTGTGTACAAATCAGTACCTCGAGATTAAAGGGTGGAGACAGAGGTGGGGCAAGATGAAACACTGGGTACAACATTTGGCAGCCTCTTTGAAAGAAGCAGAAATTGGAACAGTGGGAGAGAAGGTTACAAGGAAATGACTCAGAGTCAAACATCTGGAAGAGGCTTCCTGTGTGATATGTTGATTTCATCTTGAGATATGCAAATATTTAGAGGAATGCCACAAAAACTTTCTTAAGAAAACATATTTGATACACCTCTGCTATAGAAACAACAGTAGAAATCATATTTTTTTCTGGCAATTTCAGATTCAATATAATGCTGTGGCAGAATATGAGTAGGCATTTATTTAAACTGTTTCATTTGAACTAATAGGAATAAACACTTAGGTAATTTTGAGATTTTAATGTTATTCATATAACAGTCATGCTTGTCTAAAAATACCAAAACAGTTAAGAAGACAGAAAGTCAAAAAGAAATAATTATTCACAGAATTTCCACAAGTTCAGTCAGGTTAGCAAAGGCCAGCCACACAGTGCATAATATGATAGATTCTCAGCTATGAGCTATGAGGGAAACTGGTTCTCAACTCAGCTTTGTATATAACATACCATCTTGGAGTGTATGCAGAGACACATGAAAGCCTGGTCATTTATGTCTAGGGGGCTAAAAGAGACCCAGAAAGATCTAGAGAGCGTGGTCATTGCATGGAGTTGATCTTAGGATTTTCTATAGTATAAAGAACCAGGGGTGGGAGTGTTCAGACTTGAGGATGCTCTACAGAGAGAGACTTATGAAACAAAAATGAGGAGGACTTTAATGAATGCTTTGTTTTCAGAGAACTGTGTGTCATAAGTATAACTGAGTTGCAGGGCTGAGGGGTGGCTATAGGAAGCAGATCTGGAGAGCTAAGAAGGGTCTTTTAGGCCATCTGAAATGTTTTAGTTCTGTTCTGTAGTTAAAATGAAATCAGTGGGGGAGAGAAAGAGACAGAGAGACAAATGATGTGTTCTTAGAAGTATCTCTAGGCTATGCTGAGGATGGACTAAAGGAGAATTCGTGGACCTGGATGAAACAAAGTCTGTTTTATCAGTACTCCAGGTAGAGGTAAGAATCCTCAAGTAAGGAAGAAAAGTAGGAAGGAGGGGGAGAGGGCAGTTGGATAGACATTGAGGGGAGGAGCTTCAAGGAATGCTTTTGGTCGCCTGTGAGGAACCAGAAAAAAGAAGTCAGTCAAAGGTTGATTGATTATTTCCAGATGTGGTGTGAGAGGTGCTGTCATGACCTGCAAAAAAAAAAAAAAAAAAAAAAAAAAAAAAAAACTACAGAAAGAACTGAAGGGTGACAAATTCAGCCTGACTTCAAGGATCTGCAAGGTGAAATGTATTTGAAATTGTGCGAATACACATATATTTAAAGAATGTGGATTCAGGCTAAAACTTTTGGGCTAAATATGTATGTAGTGATCATGGCATGAAAATAACTAAATCATTTAAGTTATGTGAATAGAAACTAAAAATTGATATGAGCGAATCAGATCACCAAGGAAGAAAATATTAAGCCATAAATCTAGAAAACAAAATGGTCTGGCAAGGAGAGAAGCCAGGGAGTATCAGCCACAGGGCCTGGAGAACAAGAAGGCCAATGGGAGACTACTAGGAAGTAGTAGTAGAGACCTTGGAAGGAGGACTGACAGTAAGAAGCATTGGAACACAGGGAGAATAAACTCACAGTAGTGGAGAAGTCAATGTCAAGCAATCATGGAATGCTAAAAATAATAAACACTGCAGATCATTTAAGAGGAGATTAAGCACAGTCTGTTATTTCAACAATCAGGAGAAAAATAGTTTATTTAACATCACAATCATCTTTTTTTTTAAAGATTGAAACTCTCTACACAGCTGAGAATTATCCTCAACTCAAATGCTTCTTATCTCAGCCTATCCCAGCAAAGAGCAGGGATCATTGCTGTGTGCCACCACACTGGTCAGGCTATTGCTTATTTCATAGCAATGTGTAAAAAACAGGCTGATGATGAAATGAAAATATCTATGATTTTCTCATTTCATTTCTTTCTCTTCTTTGAAGAAAATATAGTATGTTATTGCAAGGTGCCACAAGATTGAGTGATGACATTTATAATTTAATTTCTGAGGTGGGAGAGATTCTAATGACACTGTAAACAGAAAAGAAACCCAGGATGGCCAATCCACCTGAACAACATCAAGAGTAAGGGAATGATCTCATAGAAGGACCAGGATACCCACTGAAGTGGGAATGCTATCCTAACAAAAGGATAAAAAAATAACTCAATTAATGATACTTAGAAACACACATTTAAAAATCAGTTCGAGTTCTGTTTTGCTCTACTCTTATTATTGCAATATTGTAATCTTTTTCGGCTTTTTAGTTTCTTTTTTACATATCTGCATTGAAGCAATAAGGCACAAGTCACAGCTCTATGGTCTCACATATCTTTTAGGCATACTCACTAAATATGAAACACTATGGTAGACACTGGTAAGGTTCTATTTATGTTTTTATGAGGTAATTGAAACCAAAAAATAATCAAAATCGGCAGTTATAATAAAAGTACTTAGTGTTATTGAAGACTTGTTGGAGACCGCAGAAGGCACTCAGAACTAAGCAGATGATTGTTTGCTCTGTACATCCTAAGAGAAGGTGTCAGTTTCCCCAGATCTACAAGGCTCAGCCTGGATTTGCCAGAAGCGCAAACTGGAACATTGGGTGACTTTTCTACTCTGTGGACGACAGTGTGTAGGTGACATCATAAAGGAACAACTAGCCTGGTACAAAAGGCAGACAAAATTAAAACAAATAAGAACTTGGAGGAAAAAATGTGGCACTAATTTTGGATTAGGATTTAGTTCAGCATAAATTGAGAATCATGACAAAAATTATTATAAAGGGTTACAAAGTATTATTCAACTGAAGATTGGAAGTCCTCAGAGGAAGAAATGGATGCAGAGAAAGGAACAAAGGCTTAAAAATAGGACCAATAGTGTGGAGCTT